TCAATTCCTACTATATACAATGAAAGCATCAAGCTAGATTCTGAGAAGTAACCATGATGACTCATGCATCATCTGGCCATTAAAAATCTTACAAATTTCTAGGTAAAATAATAGATGATTTACACCCTCATTCTTCAACACACAATCAAATACAATAAAAGACTGAATGTGACAAAGTATTTTACCAGGCTAAAGATACTTTAGAGAAAAATTATAGATAAGAAAAACTTTATGGTAACTGTGTAAAGCAAAACACAGGATGAAAACTCACTAATCTGCATTCTCTAAGATGCCAATCTCACAGTTATTTTAAAGCTCAAGTACTTTGTATAAAAAAATGTTTTGTAAACTGTGAAGAGCTGTGAAACTTTCTTAACATGAGCTTCATCAGTAAGACTAATATTTGGTCAGTGGTACTATAAAATTTGATGAGGAGCTTTTTTAAGAATATGTTGAATCAGCATTTGTAAAATGGAAATCATACATAGTTAGTAGGGTGTTTGCTGGGCTCCATTTACTTATTAAAACTTAGATAGGGTACTACTCAAAAAACCAAGTAACTACTATTACAATGGTAGTGATTACTCAAACTACTTGCCTGTATTCTCTTACAGCGTAGAAAGAAAAAAATGAAAATTTTATATGATAGTTGAAATGTTTACCAGCTCCAAACTTTACCAACCATTTATAATAAATACAAATGTACATAACCCACACAGATACTATTATTTCATGTAGTATTCTTTAACATTTGGCTTAATAATTTTAATAATTAAGGCTTGCTTAGACAATTAACTGTGGGAAGGGTTGTTTTATACAACATGATGAGCTGAATAAATGAAGTGTCCTGCTATGTGAGCCAAGCCAGGGCCTGGCAAACAGAGTCAGATTCAAAGTATTGATAGACAGATGCACAGTGGTGACAGAAACATTTTTTTAATCTCAACTAGGATAATAGTCACCCATTTCCCAAAATTCACCAACCTGCATCCTTTAACTATTATAGGTGCATTTTGATGGAAATTATATCTCAATTAAAAAGCATATCACTTTTGGAAGACAGAATGAAGAATTCTTGGGTAGTAAAAAAGTGGAAATGCAGAGTCTTCTTAGGGCAAAACAGGGTCAATAAATGACATAAAATTTTTTTCCTGTCCTCAGCTAATCTCAGTGCTAAACACCCCAGTCAAGTAAGTGGGCTGGGAAAAGACATGCACAGACAGGCCTGAGAAATGGTGCTGGAACAGGCCCTCTGGATTTGGATTTCCTTATCTCTTGTTTAGATTCTACTCATCCTTCCTAGAATGAAGTAATCTAGGGACTCAACTCCTTAGGCATGAGACTCCCCTAGAATCACCCTTTCAGGGGTAGAGGCTGAGTTCACAAGACTATAACAAAAACCAGTGGTTTTAGCTCAGTTATCATGACTCCTACTCACAGTTTAATAATTACAAGCACACTGATCCCAGACCATATATAGGCATTCTAACATAAGGTAGACTGAAAAGAACCTTAGTATAAACATGAGATACTTACTCCACATGGGTTCTGATTGGTGCTGCTGGCTATGAGAAGATGCCTGGCTCACACCACAATGAAAATGAGCACCACCACAGCCTGCTGGCTAGATCAGCTGATGTTTGTACCAGGAAGTGTACAACCCTCTTATAGGCTGTGGGCTGACAAATGGTTTGCATATTGGCTATTTCAAGTAACACTGCTATAGTTGCTGATATTTTAATAAAACGTAGAAAACAGCAGAACATTCATTCAAAAATGATGTATTGAGCCACAGGGCATGTACTGATACTGGGCAGTAGCAGGGAAGAGGTAAGAAAATGACTAAGACAAGGTATCTACCTTTCTTTAGCACTACTAAATAAAGCACTACTACTATCACTGACGTCATCCTTATCAACCTTTCAGACTAGCATAATACCACATTCACGGTACCACATTTAGGGGATCTGACAATTGCCACAGTCCTTTTCTGGATATGTCAGCCTTTTGTAGAATAATGGGCATTTGAATGGTCTTTTTCCTAAGACATGAGGTGCATATGAAGTTGCATGTGTGAGATACCTCATTTGGTTAATGATCTCTTTCTTCTCTTTTCCTTTCTGGCAGAATCATTGATCAGAAGCAGAATGATAACAATAGAGCTCTCTGTGTAAAACCAAGCTTCAGCTTTTTAACTGCTTTGGAAAAATGACAATCTGATAATGAGCAGACAGACAGATGTGCGAGTTTTAGGCACCAGAGAATGTACAGAGTCCAAAAATGATTCCAATGTCTATTAAGATAGAGAGAAGTTTATAAAACTTGGAAAGTTCAAGAAAGCAGGGCAGATGGGAAGATGGACTCTCTGGACATGTCTCATTTGTCAAAAGCCCAATTAAAATAAGAGACCCAGGTGTAATCTGATCACTAAAGAATACAGATGGACAGTACTACTGTGTGATTGACAGGTCACTTTTATTAATGTACCCCAAGTTTGCACTAGCCATCTTGGCAGTCACATAAAGAACCTGCTGTCAACTAAAATTCCTAGGTCAATTTCCCATGAACTGTTGTTAAATCAAGTTTCCCTTATCCTGAACTTGAATAATTTTTTGCCCTCTAAATAATAGACTTCATTAAATTTCATCTTCTAATTTCCAACCACTGTTCCAGGTACTTATGCTGTTTCCATGCTTTAGTCCTCTCACCTGTCCCCTTCCCTCCCTCTCTGTCCTCCTTTTTCCTCTCATCTCTCTTCCCCATCCATCCCTCCCTCACCTTTCTTTATGTATCAAATGTATTAACAATCCCTCCTCCAGAAATCTTATCACTGAATCACTGATATCTTTCAGATTATTTGATGCAATGCTAAATGTGTCCAAGTTCATGAAACAGCCAACCTGGAAGTAGAGACTGCATTATCTCATATCTGGGTAACTACAACTACCACTTCAGTGGTCTCCCTACCTGGAATCATTTCTACTTCATATCGATCCTCCAAACTTCTCTGACATCTTTCTAAAATACATAACTAATCACCCTTCTTTTAAAATTCTTCTAGTAACTCCCATCATCCACAGGGATAAGGTAATTGCTTGTCATAGGCACTCTGGGATGGGTTGCCACATGGCTCTCCCACCTCATCCTGCCCCCTCCCGAGGTCTGCATTGAATGGCTGTGCCTTCATGCCTAGACCAGGCTCCTGTATTTGTCTGACAGTTCACTACATCTTTAAGAATGCAGTTCAACTATGACCACTTCTCCAAGGGGGAAGAATTAACGCACTATCTTCTATCTTCGGATTTCTGTGACATGTGCCAACCTCAGGTTCTAGAAATTCTCCTCCCCCGCCCATTGTGTTGTAGTTATTTCCCCCAAATTTTTGGTTTGTTTTGAATGATATACCCATCTAGTAGCACAATGTCTGGCACACAGAAGGCTCAAGGTAGTGTTCTTGAATGATTAAACTACTTTAGAACTGAAATTGACCCATAAAATACTGATGAAGTAGGGATGGGTAGACAGATGCCTACTGAGTTTATATCCTCTTAGATTACAAGATTTCATTCTGTTTGTGAGGATGGGGCTTTTAAATACCTTCTGTTTGTGAGGATGAGGCTTTTAAATACCTTATGTAAATTCACATATATTGTTTCTATAATACCTCCGATCTTCCTAAAATTTCTAAACTTCAAAGGGAAAAAAAGGCAGCAAACTCTCTCTTTCACAATGATGGAAAATGGAAGCTACACAAATAGCAAGAGTAAAGTAAAATGGAAAGAACTCTGATGGATTTAGGGAACTTGAGTCAGTGAATGGTGAATGGATAATGAACTCACTTTTGTCAAAGTAGTTACAGTCTTAATCCAGTTACTTAAATTCTTCAATCTTTAGGTGTTTTTTTTTTTTTTCTCATGGATAAAAAATATTTTTGAAGTAAATAATCTCCAAGTTTCCTTCTGGTCCTAAGAATTCAAAGTTATTTAACACAGAGAATCTGGTTTGTGGGGTCTTAGGTAGAGACCATGGTGAGGAGTTTCCTCTGCTGGGAAAGGATTATAGGGCCACTAGGGATGAGTGCACCATGAGATGGAGACCTTGGGTGTAACAGAACTTTTTATGATATGGCAACTGGCTGGCAGAGAATTACATTGCCAGGAAATAAGTGCTTACCCTTTTAATAGAGGACAGGAATTACCCTTGGTTTCTATTCCTGAATATAACAATAACAATATGTTTTAACTCCTCATAACCCTTAAGTGCCAACAGACTACAAGTGCTTCCTGCTACCAAAGTAAAGTGAAATCCAGCACAGGAAAATCAGTTTTACCCTGTGGGTGTCATCTCATTATTTTTATTTTATTGGCTTAAAGTTGCTTATTTGGGAAAACTGTTAATAACTGTTTTGCCTATGTGCAAAGAAGTATGAATGGGCAAAGGACATGCACAGAAGCAACAATGCATTAACAGTCTCGCATGCATTTGGATTTTTATAACAGCAAATATTTTGGGTGACCTTCATATTAAATTCAATGGACAGAAACTGATATTTGACAGTAAGAACAGAATGAAAAAAAATGGTGGGGTCAGGGAGGATTAGTTAACCACAAACTAAGAGGCAAAAGCTTGTAGGGAGGGCAGATGATTGGCATTTCAGGGACTGAAACATTAGAACAATTCTATTCCAAATGCTAGAATGAATCTGTGAGGGGTACCTAGAAGTATCTATTTTTAGCGTGTGGATTCTCAGAGATCTTTGTTTTTGACAACACTCTGCCTTGACTGGGAGCATGTGCTAGAGAGCCTGTCTATCACGGAGACAGGAGCTGAGACAGGAATGCTGAGAGTCCAGCAGAGTCAGCATCACTCCTTATAGATATTTCTATCAGTGTTAACATTTAATTCAAACCATGAGAGGTTGAAGCTCTAGAGACATTTTTAGGACTCATCCTGTCATTAGGAGGTGAGAAATGCAATCAGAAAAAAAAAAAAACACCTACAAAAGCACAGCATGATCCTTTTCCTTCTGAGTTGACTATAGTTTCATGTTACAGTTTTGCAGAACAGGCTCACTTTGGAGGGTGCCTTGATATATTTAGCCTTCTGAGCCAATCCCCCAGATCTCTGTCACAGGGGCTCTCCCAAAACCATCATTACCAGTCACAGCTCTCCCTGAATCAAGTCAACTTTCAGCATCAGTTCTACATGATGGCCATCATCATTTTGTGACCACTAATGATATAATTTGCTAAGTGGGAGGAGAAGTAGGGATGGTACTGGTATTGCTAAAAAAAAAAAAAAAATGATCAAGGGTTTTGTAGATCACTAGAAGGAAATTAGGTAAGTCATAGTTGATGTTTAGGAAAAAGCAGCTATAGGACTTGAAGTAGTGAGTTCCATTCAGAGAAGCAACCACTAAGTCTTGGGTATGATTTCAGAAAAACCAAGAAAGAAAAAGGCAAATATTAAAGGCAGGTGAGAAACAGTGGAAGAAAGGTCAAGACCTTTCTTGAGGTCTTACAGTGAGCCTCCATGCAGTGAGGCTTCCATGAACATCTCCCATGACACCTGTCCAGCTGATTATTTTTGAAAAAGAAGATACATAAAAAATGAACATGACAAAAAGAATACAAGATTTCCTGCTTTGGTAGAAGCTGTTTTTATATTATGGAAATGTAAAAATCATATCCCATATTATTTCTCCAGTGAGCCAAGCCCTGCACTGAATGACCAGAACACTCATACTCCAGCACCCAGACAGCAGAGGGGAGATGGCCCCTTCCCTGTGCGAACCAGCCCGCCCAGGCTGAACACTTACCTGGATCTTGCCTCAGTGGGGAATGATGGGTCACCAGCAGAGAGGCTTGACTGTCGAGGAGAGGAGTGGGACATGGTAGGCATTTGCTTTGGGGACCTTGGCACATCACTGAAGGAGCAGTCTCCTGCAGAGAGTGGGAAGGAAGACGAACTCTCCACCTTTGGGGGCGGATCCTGGGCTTGCTCGGGGGTGCTCCGCTCTCGATCTCGTCTTTGGTTCTCCACATTAAGCAGCACCTCTGTGTGGGAAACACCATCACTCCCGTGGAGGCCATAGTCCTTGGATTCAGCCACATAGGTCCTGAACCCCATGATCTCAGTCCTAGGGTATGGAGAACTCGAATCTTTGCTTGACTCTTCCCATTTGTCACTTTTTCCTCCCCTTTTCTCTACTGCATCGGGATCTTTCCTGGACTTGGCATATCGAGCTGGAGATTCAGAGTCAGCTTCAGAATCCAGAGTGAGCCCATATTTTTCTGCCAGCTGCCGTCTCCTCTCTGCTTTGTACCTCGCAATCCTTTCAGCCTTGGATTCAAGCCCCTGGGTGTCCATGGTACCTGAACCACAGGATGAGTCACCATGGATGCCTGAAGTTTCTGTGCAATGCTTGGACTGAGTCTGCTTCTCTAAAGAAGAATCGGAAGTGTCTTCCTCTTCATTTGATCGGCCTACAAGAAGATCACATGGATGTTGACACAGTAAAGACACATTCACTCTTCTCTGTCCTACACACAATGCACACTGAAGCACCCATCTTGGGAAGGACCAGTTTCTCACGTGGCCAGTGACCAAGGACTTACCTGAGGTGCTGAAGATCTGTGGTGAAATATACAAAGCATGAGTGTTCTACAGGTTCCCCAAGCTGAGAAAACCACAGCCTCAACTAAAGCTCAGTCCCTCACTCCTAGAGCTCCTCATTCTTGCTGCTCAGAGTTTATTTCCCCTATTTATTTTCTTTGCTTTTGAGTTTAATATTTCATGTGTGAGGTCAGAGGACTAGTTCAGAGCCCTCTGGAAAAGATAAAAGATATCAAACTTCTGTAATTTGACAAGTGACAGATTGTGGTTTCAGGATCTGATAGTAACCATAACAATAAAGACCCATATCAATAATCACCAGGTTGTTTTTCCTTTTTACAGAAGTGACTTTTTTTAACTGAGCACTCATGCTTGATGTAGACTATCTCTAACAGGAAAACATGGGAGGTAAAAGCTCAAATCACCATAATCATTAACCTATATCAATGAAGTGTTAATATGCCAAGCATTTCTGCATATTCCATCTTCTCTTTTATATAACTTTTTCTTTTTTTTTTACATGAAATAATTCTCCTTATAGTTATATAATGTTATATATTAATTAATGTATTATATGTAAAACATCTCCCTATATTTGGAAATTTTGAAGGCATCTTTTTTTTTAAGACTTACTAATATTCTATCCACCAGGAATTTCACAATTAACTTAACTCTTCTCATATTGATGGATATTTAAGTCTTTCCTAACTTTAAATCAGTCTGATTTTCTGATTACCACCACAACAGCAAAAAGTAAGTACCTTTACCAAAGAACACATCATGTTAAGATACTGCTAGATTGTCAAATTAATTTTACACTCAAATTAAATTTACACTTAAATTTGCAATATGTGCTCTCCCTCACAGTTTTAATTTTAAGAAATTTCATTTTCTCATGACAAAAATGAGAGTAGATGTATTTAAATTATTTATTATCCATTTGCGTTACTATCCCTTCCTTCTCGGCAATACCTGGTCGTGTTTACTGTTCTATAGTCTACTTTTTCACGGTGTCATTTTATTGGTTGGTGTCAACTTTTAAAGGAATATCCTTCCTTTTTCTTATTCAAGAGTATTTTCAAACTCACTTGCCTAATTTTTTATGCAATGTTTACATAAGATTTTCTTTGGAATACAGATGCTGGTATGCAGTCAAGTCAACTGAGGTGGTCATTTGTGATTTCTCCAGCTTTTTCTGGGCTTTGAGAGTCCTTTTCCATCTAACCTAAATGAAATAATCATCTATATTTTATGTTTTATTATTTTTTTTTAAATCAATGATGTGATTAACTGGACCTTATTGTTGTGTTTGGTAGGAAGTGAGAAGAAGGAAACATCTTTTCCCTCAATCCACTGCTTTTCCATTTCCCCAAACCATTTTATCATGTAAATTTTCTTTTTCTCACTAATGAGTAATGTTTAAATAATCATGAAGTATATCAGTTAACATTATAAATATATAACATATAACATTTTATTAATATTTATATATATTAATTTTATCAATATAAATTTTGGTACTTGTCTATTCTTGACTTTCCATGTGTGTAATTAAAAAAAATTAGTTCTTTAATGACAATAGAAGATCATAAAATGCAGAGATAAGAAAGTTGATTGCATCATGAAGTGATATCTACAGCCCACTATGGGGAAGAAACTAGAAAAACTGGCTATAAAAAGCAGCAAAGAGAGCCATAGGGGCAGGGACTGGGGTAGAAGAACCAGGCTTAAATGCGTCATCCTTCCCCATAGTCAAGGTGAATACTTGCTGCCCCTGACGATCAAGGAAAAGCTAAGTCACTTTTTTTTTTTTTAGCTAAGTCACTTTGGACATGTTTAATATGAAATAAATTTGTAATGAACTGAAAATTACATACATTAAAATAATTTAAGTAGGTGTTTATTACAAAAACCCTACTCATTTTAGGTCTAGGTTTGCCCTTAGTGTTCCCTACTGAAAGCAGTTCTGCCTTGCGTTTGGCAACCGGGGTGTTCTATTTAAACCAATAATAAGAGGAACACCTCTGTTAAAAGAGAGACAGTGAGTCCCAAATGGTATCACTTGTGCTAAGGTTTATATGACCAAACTAAAACTTACTAAGTAACTTACGTTTTAACTTCTCCCAGAAATGTAACCTTTAACTGGATAATCTGGAATTACTTGATAGGAAATAATAAGGTAATCTGTCTGATAGACCCCTTTTATTCCCATCGGAAGGTGACTTTGCCTGAAGTAATCCTCTTCTTTGCTTTCTCTGCCGCCTTTCTGTCTATAAAATCCCTCCACTTTAGATAGCTCTTCAAAGCTCCTTCCTCCTTGTTCGATGGGATGCTGCCCAATTCTTGAATTGTTAGAAAACTGATTCAATCTTTAAATTTACATGGTTAAAAAAACAGCAAATAAGAGACTCTGAAATGTTTTCAGGCAGTAGGATATTATATATAGAAATCCTGAAGAATCCACCAAAAAGTTATTACAAACAACAGAGGAATTCAGCAAAGTGGCAGATTACAAAATCAACATACAAAAATCTAAGTCTTTTTACACATAAACAAGAAACAAAAGAAATTAAGAATAATTCCACTTATAATGAGGCATAAAAACATACAATTCAATGATAAAAAAGTAATTAACTCAATTAGTAAATGGGCAGAAGACATGAACAGACAATTCACCGAAGGACCCTGTTACAAAACTATTGGTGGGAGCGTAAACCAGTGCAACCTTTATGAAAGCCATCTGGATTTACTTTAAGAATCCAAAAATGGAAACACCATACTACCCACCATTCCCATTCTTGGGCAGACCTCCAAAGAATATGAAGCCATGGATGTCTTCATATTTTGTCGAACAAAACCCCACGTGTTCCACAATGTTCATAGCATTAATCACAACAGCCTGCACATGAAAGCTGCCTAATGTCTACTGATGGACAACTGGATCAAGAAGATGTGGTATAGCCACACCATGGAGCACCATACAGCCATAAAAAAGGTGAAATGCGGCCATTCTTGACAAAATGGAGGTAGTTTGAGAAAATTGCATGTAGTAAAGCAAGGCAGCACAATAAAAACAAATACTGGACAAATGCATAGCAGACAATTTGAAAACACAAAACACTTCCAAAAATCAGCGGACATCAACAAATACTATTGAAGACTCTGAGGTTAAAAAGGATGGTCAAGGGAAATGGGCGAGGGTATATAGGGAAAGTGGTGGGAAAAAAATTACAGATGACTACTGAAAATAGCAAAAACTTCTGTGCTTGGATAAAAGTATTAGTGGAAGGTCCATGTAAACATAAATAAATCAATAAATTTACCTGGTTGAGCTGTTTTTAAACGTGTCTTATTTAGTCCCTTTAGCAAACAAAACCTCTACTAAGAATCTCTGTTGAAGAGGAAGTCACAATTCCTGCCACACTTGAGGTCCCAGGCTAAGGGGGAAAATGACTGGTTATGAATTACCCAGCAGTGTGCCAAGGGGAGTCATCTTTTACTGCCTTGATACCAGAGGAACAGTCTGGCATGAGGAAGGCAGAACTGACATATGTGTTGAGGGTTTTAACGAATACATGTATTTATTAAATAATTTTACCTACATAATTCATTTTTGTGGAATATATTGTTTTCCAGTACGACCAGGCAGAAGCCCCTCCAGGAGCCTGCCTGAATAGGGGCGGGTGGGCACCCTTGCTCACCAATGTGGGGGCTGGCTGGGTCCGTGGCTCGCATGTATCTGGGAGTGTCTTCTTCCAGCAGGCGATGAGTGACTAACCCTGTGCAGCTCTGCAAGAGGATAGGTTGGGCATCACTTTCAATTCCTTCCAAGCGCCTGGCAATTCTTTCTTTTCTGTGCAAGACACCAAAAAAGGCATAGTGAGCAGTAGGAATCAATCCTAAGAGAAAACTGAATACTGCTTTGCCAAGCTCTTCTACTTCTTAATTATTTATAATAAATATCTTACCTTTTCATTTCTAAAAATTCTTTTCTCTTTGGCTCAAAGATTTTTCTTAATTCTGCAACTAAAGCAAATAAAATATATAAAAATATAGTCCAGTATTTAGTAGTCATCATTTATTTAATTCACTCATGCAAAATTTATCCATCCAGCCATCTATATTTTTTTGAACTCATATTTTTGTTCTTAGATCCCACACAAGTGATACAAAAAACTAACAAAGTTCAGGCTTCCCTAGAGATTGTCTTCCAGTAGGGGAGGCAGATTGCTAAATGAATAAGTATAAACCTCCATCCTCACTCCCACACGCACACATCGCAGGTCAAGCTAAGAAGTAAAACCATGAAGGTAAAGAGACAGAGTGACAGGAGTGAGTTTTATTTCATCCACAGAAGTCAGAGGTGGCCTATCTCATTTATTTTTAAGTTTTATTAGGTTTAACAAAGTATTTTAAGCTTTTCAATATGGAAAACTACAAACATCTGCAAAAGTAAATACCAGTCCCTATGAACCCCACATGCCCAGCAGCAAGCCACAAAATCATAAACTCACACCACTTGTCTATTTCATGCTGTCATTTACCTGTAAGTATGTGCAACTACCTGGTTGTTTCCAGTTGTACCTAACGCAGCATATCTTGGTTAAATACAATTTAGATTAATAAAGTTCCTAAGTCTTCCCTTACAGCCTTTAACTGGGAGGAAATGCTAATAGTCGCCTTGCAATAACTGAAGCGGATGATGGATATAGTAATAACCCTAACTTTTCTGGCAATGATGGTTGATCAGATAAATATTTTGCTGACATTTGGGTCTCATGTGATACTGACCAGAAGAATATTATGAAGATGCCAAACAACTGTTGTTGGGGAAAATGGAAAAATTTGGTGGAGAATAAAAGTCCCCTCTTCTTGCTTCCTCCTCAGTAAATGAATTCATAAGGGTTCATTTGAGTTCCTCCTTTTGAGGACCCCGGAAAGGGTGGGAGAGGGAAGGGAGCTGCCGATAGTCCCATCCCAAAGAAGAGGGTATGAATACATGAAATTCAATTTTCAGCTGCTTCAACATCCATTTTTATTCTTTTAAAAAGTGAACACACTTAGTAATAAGGCAAAACCACACACACACAAACACACACACATTTATATTGTCTTTTAATTGTGTTCAAAGACAGGAGTCATGTTTTATTTTAAAATGATGGCTACCTTAAAATTTTAGTTGGATTGACTTTTGTTAACAAGAGTTGGCCTCAAAAAAGTCTTTCCCAATTGGCCTCCAAGGATCCAAAGCAGCTGGAGGCAGAGGTGTGTTTGCTCTGCAATGTTAACCAAGTTCCTATTTAGAAGTCAAGGACACAATAATAAAGGTGCATCCTGTTCTGCCTTTTGAAGAAGTCTGTCTAATAATAGCTTAACAATAAGCTTTAGTGAGATTATAGTGATAAAACTTTAATGGGAGATTGTGTATTTTGAAAATATTTTCAAGAATAATAAAAACCAAAGAGTATCAATTTATTTAAACACCATGCAGGAGAAAGGAGCTGTAATTTTTATAGGCCTGTTGAAAAAGCTAATGAAACCACATTCCAAGAATACTCTGAAAGGTAAGTCTTAAACCAGTGCCTCAATCCCTTAACTGAGAAACAGAGTGTATTTATTAATAGGGCGCTGAGTAAAATGGCACCTTTTCGCCTCCAAAAGCTTTTGCTTTTTTTCCTCCAAAATAATTTCAACTAGGTTTGCTATGGTCTGAATGTGCCTTCTCCCTAAAATTCATATGGTGAAATCCTAGCCCCTAAGATGATAGTACTAGAAGGTGGGGAGCTTTGGGAAGTGATTAGGCTTTGCTCTCATAGTTGGGATTAGTGAGTGACCTTATATAAAAAAAAGGGCTCCTTGACCCCTTCCCTCATGTGAGAGTAGGAGGAGAATTTGGCCATCTGCAGCTGCAAAGAGGATCCTCACCAGGACCTGACCAAGCTGGCACAGCACTACAGCTATGAGCAATCCACTTTTGCTATTTATAGGCTGCCCAGTCTCTGGTATTTTTCTATAGTAATCCAGATGGACTAAAACAGAATAAATATAAAAATATGAATGTGATACACACGGAGCAGCATATTACCTCCATTGGGAAAATTTAAGATATGCTTTTGGTTCTAACTTGAGACTGAAATCTATTCATTTCATTAAATTTTCAAATTTTTTGTATAAATTATGCAACTAAAGACATCTTTAAAAATTCCAGCAGTTGAGCTCTCCTGCCCGCCTGTGACTATGCAGGAGTTTGTTTTCACAATCCTTTTTTCCCTTTGCAAAGAGAGCAGCAGTGACAGCTCAGCTGCCCACCCCTGCAGGTGCCTCTCTTTTTTTCATTCTCCTTTTCCAAAGAAAGCTGTCCTTTTAAAATGGGGGAGGGGGTTTCCAGCAGTGCAATGACAAAGCTAAGCAATAAGTTGCTTTCTTACATGCTGTATTTCCCAACTTCTCAAAGGAAGTGTCAACTAGGAAACTATGCAAACACTCTACCCACAACAAACTGTACATTCCCTAGTGCCATTACCACTCTGCTTCAACAGTCTGCAAAGATTGGTAATATGAGCAGGCTGACAGTCAGCATAGAGCTCATCATAAAAATTGAACCCCAAGAAGCCTGGGCAGTGAGAGAAAAGAGCAAGGACAAGTCAAGTTATCCTGCTGTCCTTGGAGACCTCTCTTTCTTGACAAAACAAGTTGGGCAACCCACCGTGAATATGTCATCTAACAGCCATTCACTGCTGGCGATTAGAAGTCTCAGGGCAGCGATCAGACATACAAGGAGTACCTCATCGGGGTCAGACTCAGAATGTTGGTTCTGGTATAGATCAAGTTCACCCTGGGGGTGCTGATGGCCTTTGAGTGGGAAATTGTTTTGTTGTGCACTCTGCACAACAGGATGCTGGGTGGCCCTGCCTCTCATACTAGTTGCCAAATACCCCAGTTGCTATGACACAAAACTGTTCCCATATATTTCCAAAGCCTTCTTTGGGATGGTACTGTGATAGAATGAGAACCACTGATCCCATAGAAAGGTTTCAAATAGGCAGCCTGCCTGCTAGATAGTCACACGAAGGTTATTCCAGTGACAGGCATAGTGGTCCATCACCACACTCTTTTTAAGCCTAGATTCAAACTTATACTATTTTAAGTCTATAACCTCACAGTCTTTAGCACTATCTAATGTATAATCTCTATACAGGTAATCTTTCGATTATGTGTTCATGATCCACAGTTAATGGAAGTCCCTTTGGGGAAAAAACATAGATCATTTAAGCATTCAATTTCCCAGAAGCAAGAATCACTCACTAAATGAACAGAAACTTCCATAAATTTGAAAACAAACAAAACTCTAAGCTATTAAAATGTATAATCAGTTACTGCCTTTAACATTATGTTGCCAAAACTTGATAATACCATTAATCTGTCTGTTAAGACGAAAAATGAGAAGATTGCTGGTAATACAGGGTCTTGCCAAACACATGTGCCCAAATTCACAAAGGGCAAAACAAAGTCTATGATATGAGACTAGGGAATTTATTTTTTTCCACCACCATCCCTCTACATCCTGCTCTTCTCCTTCAGTCTCCCTTTTAACCTCCGACCCTTCCCAGTGTTTGTTGATATCCACTGGTTTTTGGAAGTGTTCTGTCTGCTATGTAAATGTCCGGTAATTGTTTTTATTGTTTTGACTTGCCTACTACACAATTTTCTCACACACCCTCCATTTTGTCAAATGTATCAAGAAGTTGTGGTATATTTATGCAATGGAGTACTACTCAGCCATCAAAAAAGACAAACTCATGCCATTTGTGGCAATATGGATGGAGCTGGAAGGGATCATGCTAGCTAAAATTAGTCAGAAGGATAAAGATAAATATTGGATGGTCTTACTTATATGTGGAATATAGAGAAACCAAACAAAAAGTCAAGAAAAAAGTCAAAACTACCAAGCTGACCATAGAACTGAGGCACACAGCAAAGAAGGGATGGGAGGGAGGCCAAATAGGGAGGGATGAACACAAGGGAATATGGTGATGGCTCATGGGTGATATACTGCATGTGCATCTGTACCAATGAAAACACTAAGTCATTGAACATGTGAACACCTACTTGTAGAAGGAGAGAGGATTAAGGTATAGTCTGCACCTGGTATGTATCAGCCAGCAGGGAGCAACCCGCTGTTTAAGTGTAAATGCCATAACATTGGGAAGTGTCAAGAGGCTGGAAGGAGTGGGAGTGGTTGATTACGAGTAGCATTCACTGATCTTGGAAAGGTAAAGGGTAGGAGAGAAATGGGGTTGGGTTGATTCTATCATCCATCTCTCATTCCCCCAATCAGCCTTAAGAAAAAACTTAACAATTCCTAAAATGAAAAGGAAAGATCATGCAAAAAGGTGAGGATAAAAAAATGCAAGAGGGGTACTTTCATTAAGGTCAATTATTGTTTTAGATAATGAGTACTCACAAAGAAGCGTGCAAGCTGGAGGTTAGTGCGAGAGTTTTCCTCAAAGAAAATCAGATTATTACAATACTATATGCCCAGGACACTGGTTAAGCATTTAGAAAAATTCTTACCTTTAGGAAGTACAATTAAGAGCTTAGTATCAACTCCTCTTCTGTGGTTAGTAAGTTGCTCTTTATCTTCAAGCAAGAAATCTTTCTGAAAGCTGAAAATTATTTCATTAATAAAATATTTCAAGTTGATTTAAATGCAGGTAAATGATAAGTGAAAAAAATGCAAACATAAACTTTATGTTATTTTTATAAATAATGACATTTGTGCATGTAGATTACAAGTAAAAAGGTTTTTTTAGGGAGTTAATTTATTTATATTTATGCTAATATGATACTTTTGTGTCACTAAGTAATCATTATCAGCACAGGCTGGTGGCATGGTATAGGGTGCTGAAACATTCCTGAACTCAGGTCTTGGTCAAAATGACAACCTTCATTTTGATTTTTAGAGCCATCGATTTTTGCTTTGTCTAAGCTGGGATCAATCACTCAACCTTTCTGTGCTTGAATTTCTTCCTCTCAGAAAACCAGCAACTTGTCTAGGTGATCAACATGCTTTCTTCCAGTGTTAAAAAATCATAATAAAGTAACAAATGCTCTCAAACAACCAAGAAATCAAAGCTTGGCGAACAGGTCTGAAAGAATCATAAAAACTTGTCTTGGGAAAAAAGAGGAAATGAAAGGGGGAAGAATAAAGGAACAGAGCACCTATATAGACTTTTCTTATTGACTCAGCATATTCCAGGTATTATTATCTTAATTATCTTCACAAGATCCCATGAGGTATAAACTGAATAGTGATGTGGTGGCAGACATTTAACAACTGGCTCCTTTTTCTTGCTCACTTCTCTCCCAGACAAAGTGCCTGCCTTGCAGTATTAGCTCTCAGTATGGTAAATTTCAAGGTACCCACAGGGGCTCATTGAGCTCAAAGTTGAAGAGAAAAGCATACTTGCTAGGATGAGGTGGCAGGTGTGTGCCGGTTCTAGCACACCACTGAAGCTACTAACATCCTAATTTTACAGATTAGGAAACTGTGAGATGATTTGCCCAAGGACACATATTTGGCAACAAGAGTACACAAGGTACAAACTAGCTCCTGCTCTAACACTATGCACAGTTGTCCCAAGTGTGTTGTACCCACATCTCCAAGGTCTTCCCTGGGAATGTGCCAGCAGCTTGGTAAGACAGTGAGCTGCTACCTTGGAAAAAAAAACCCAAACCTAAGAAATCAGGGAACTAATATTCCCCAAAGGCAGAATCACCTCCAGCAAGGTGAACAATGGGCTGAAGAATGTACCCCATATAAAGCTGACCTTCCCATGAATAAGTATCTTTACTCTGCAAGGGTACATTTCCAGAGGCTGAGAAAATGACTGCAGAAAGTATGCACGTGACATGTAAAATCTAAGTGCAATACACCAATAATCCTACCTTCTAGAACCAAGCTCATCAGAAATCTTAATTATTGCTTATAAATGTAGTATGGTTTATTTCCATAAACATGAGTTCCATATTTTAGTATTATTTAGTAAAATGTCTTTAGAAAAAGAAGTCTTTATAAACCACACTCCAGATGTCTCAAGATCCTGGACACCGACTTAGGTCAGAAACTCAGTGATAGCACTAACTTCTAACTAGTGAATGACAGTGCAGTGACTAGTCTTTTCAGCGTTTTATTTAGATGCATCATGACGAATAAATTTCTGCTAAGGAATGCTATTTTAATTTTATTGATTGATCAATTGCTATTTAAACATTTGATAAGTTTTGTACTTTCTTTGAAAACTCCAGAAAAAGATTATATTAAAATGAAATGATGCAATCCTTGAAATATTCAGCTTCCCAGGCTGACCGTTATGTATAAATTATTATGTTTTAAAAAATATACATCTGTAGGTTTTTACTCCCCCTTTGTTATGCTTACCAGTAAGCTCAATGAAACTACTAATAAAGACAAAGACATTCTCTCTTAAACATTTTGCTGAATTTTACATAGTGGGGTTCACAAATCATCACTGGACACCTGCTATTTCAAATGCACTTACTTTCTTGAAAAAGCTACAAATAGTGTCACACCAATATACAGTACAGCCTACGTAAGGTTGGTTAGAAACCAAGGGAAAACCAAAATGCTGTCAGAAAAATCTCATGTTTAACAGGGCTTACTGAAAATACTATTCCCTTGCCCTGAATTCTCTCCTTTCCACACTTTTTCCATCCTGACTGAGTCTTGCTCCTGATCTGGTCCTCAGTTTCATGGTCATTTTCTCCAGGAAGAATCCCTGACCACTGTATTTCCTACCTGGCACCAAATCTGTAACATACAGTATTTCCTTTACGGTACTGTTTTTCTGTCTGCACATATTCAAGTGTTTTATTAAAAGCATTGATTTTTTTTTTTTTTAATTTTTTCTTTTACCATTTCTTTTTTTTTTTTTTTTAATAATAAATTTTATTTTTATATTCCACATACAATTGCAGCCCCCCCATTCTGACCCCAATCCCTCCCCTCCCGCCCCTCACCCCCAAAAAGTGTCTCTGGTTCATAGTTTTTTGTTGATTTTGATTTTCACTTTCTTATAGTTATTCATTTTCCTGGTCCCTTATTTAAGTTTTCTAGATTCCTGCTATGAGTGAGACCATCCGGTATTTTTCTTTTTCTTTTTGGCTTATTTCGCTGAGCATGATCCCTTCCAGCGCCATCCATGTTGCTGCAAATGCCATGTGTTTATCTTTTTTGAATGCTGAGTAATATTCCATGGTATATATGTACCACATCTTCTTGATCCAGTCATCGATTTTTGGGCATTTGGGTTGTTTCCAAAGCTTAGCTATTGTAGACAGTGCTGCTATAAACATAGGGGTGCAGGTGTTCTTTGGAATTGATGTTTCTGTGTCCTTTGGGTAAATACCTAGGAGTGGAATTGCTGGATCATATGGAAGCTCTATGTTTAGTAGGTTCAGAAATCTCCACACAGCTTTCCACAGTGGTTGGACCAGTTTGCACTCCCACCAACAGTGCAGAAGAGTTCCTTTTTCTCCACACCCTCGCCAACATTTGTTGTTGCTAGTTTTTTTAATATGTGCCATTCTCACTGGTGTAAGATGGTATCTCATGGTAGTTTTGATTTGCATTTCCCTGATGACAAGTGATGTTGAACATTTTTTCATATGCCTGTTGGCCATTTGCATTTCCTCTTCAGAGAAGTTTCTTTTTAGCTCTTCTGCCCATTTTTTGACTGGATTATTTTCTTTGTTGTTGTTGAGTCTCATCAGCTCTTTGCAGATTTTTGTGATCAGTCCTTTATCATTAGTGTTGGGTGCAAAAATGTTCTCCCAGTTGGTGGGGTTTCTCTTTGTTTTTGTTATTGTCTCTTTTGCTGTGCAGAAGCTCTTTAATTTGATGTAGTCCCAGCTGTTTATCTTCGCCTTCACTATCACTGCTTTGGTGATGTGTCTGTAAAGATGTCTTTGATGTGCAAATCACGTAGTGTTTCGCCCACATTTCCTTCTATGTATTTTATGGTTTCAGGTCTTATGTCTAATTCTTTAATCCATTTTGAGTTGATTTTTGTGTATGGTGTGAGGTAGTGGTCAAGCTTCATTCTTTTGCATGTAGCGACCCAGTTTTCCCAGCACCATTTATTGAACAAACTTTCTTTGCTCCAATGCATAGTCTTTGCTCCTTTGTCGAAGATTAGTTGACCATAAATCTGTGGGTTTATCTCTGGATTTTCTATTCGATTCCATTGGTCTGTATGTCTGTTCTTGTTCCAATACCATGCAGTTTTGATGATTATGGCTTTGTAGTATAGTTTGAAGTCTGGGAGTGTGATGCCTCCATTCCCTTCTTTTTTTTCAGGAGAGCTTTGGCTATTCGGGGTTTTTTTGTGATTCCATATGAATTTCATCAATAATTGTTCTATTTCTTTGAAGAATGACATTGAAATTTGATTGGAATAGCATTGAATCTGTATATTGCTTTTGGAAGGATGGCCATTTTAATAATGTTTATTCTTCCAATCCATGAGCAGGGATATCTCTCCATTTCTTTGTGTCTTCTTCTATTTCTTTTAACAGTGTTTTATAGTTTTCTTTGTATAGGTCCTTTACCTCTTTTGTTAGATTTATTCCCAAATATATGATTTTTTTTGTTTCAATAACGAAAGGGATGGTTTTTTTGATTTCTTCTTCTTCAGATTTATTGTTTGTGTATAGGAAGGCTACTGACTTTTGCGTGTTGATTTTATATCCTGCCACTTTACTGAACTGATTGATGAGTTGAATTAGCTTTTCTGTGGAGTTTTTGGGGTTCTCTATGTATAATATCATATCGTCTGCAAATAGTGATAGTTTGACTTCTTCTTTTCCTATTTGGATTCCTTGGATGTCTTTCTCTTGTCTTATTGCCCTGGCTAGGACTTCCAGTATTATATTGAAAAGCAGTGGTGAGAGTGGACATCCTTGTCTTGTTCCAGATCTTAATGGAATTGCTTTCAGCTTTTCACCATTGAGAATGATACTGGCTGTTGGCTTGTCATAGATTGCCTTTATGATGTTAAGGTATGTTCCTTGTATCCCAAGAATTTCCAGGGCTTTTATCATGAATGGGTGTTGCACTTTGTCGAAAGCTTTCTCAGCATCTATTGATATTATCATATGGTTTTTATATTTCTTTCTGTTGATGTGTTGGATAACGTTGATTGATTTTCGGATGTTAAACCATCCTTGTGTCCCTGGAATGAATCCTACTTGGTCGTGGTGAATTATCTTATGGATACATTGTTGGATTCTGATGGCTAAAATTTTATTGAGGATTTTTGCATCAGTGTTCATTAGGGAGATTGGCCTGTAGTTTTCCTTTTTTGTGTTGTCCTTGTTCGGTTTTGGTATTAGTGTAATGTTGGCTTCATAGAACGTGTTTGGTATTGTCCCTTCCTTCTCAATTTTTTGGAAGAGTTTGTGAAGGATAGGCACTAATTCGTCTCTGAATGTTTGGTAGAATTCATTTGTAAATCCATCAGGTCCTGGGCTTTTGTTTTTGGGGAGGTTTTTGATTACCATTTCAATTTCGCTAATTGTAATTGGTCTGTTTAGGTGTTCTATTTCTTCTTTATCTAGCTTTGGGTGATTGTAGAGTTGTAGGAATTTGTCCATCTCCTCTAGATTGTTGAACTTGTT